GCCAAAATGGCTATTGCCAATAGATGTGCGCTTACAAGTTTTACCTCATCAGTTGATATCATGGAAATTGACTTCTGATTTTTCTAGATATAATTGGTGAGGTAGGTTTCAATAAACATGTATTTAGAGCCAAAAGCAGTATTCCATTACCGAACCATTAACGCTTTATTTTCAAAATTCATTGCGTAGAATGTTTTAAAAAGAATCGATTATATTGTACAATACGCCAACCTGTAATGACATTTAAACCAAGTTTAACATACAGCATCACAATGTAAATTACGCTATTACGCTTGTGAAAGCTTTTTTTGGTCCTCTAGGCGCATGACTTCTGCATTGTAAATTATATTCCATTTATAGAAGGAATTTACGTATACGTAAGCTTCAGATGGCGCTTGTAATATTTTTTTGAATATTTGTTATAATATAATTAATAACAATTCCATTGACGTTTTGTCTGAAATGCTTCTCGATTTCAATTCAAAAAAATTGTATTGGTTGTCGCAAACTCAAAATGTACTTATTTAATTATATATTAAAATTAATTCGGAAATCCAGTATGCTGCTAAAATAACATAAAAATCGGAAAGAAGCTACAGGGTAACAAAAATTTCCTATTTGCAGTAACAAAAAATTACTTTTGACGACTATTGGACGAATTATGCAGTTCACACCGATGCAAAGTAACACTGAAAAATAATATATTTGCATGTCCGAATTCTACAGTGTCAGCCAATCCTTGCAAAATTAATTTAAAATACATTGATGTGAATTTTACTACTCGGTCCTCTTTGATAGCATCGACTAATTACGTTTTACATGGTCTTTTGCATCTGTAATAAGTCCTCGACCGGATACGCGACTGCCATACAAGGCAATTTTCACTCGATTTTATCGTCGATGGTCGCAGTTTGTTTCTTTTTAATTAATATCGCGATTTTAGATGACCTAATGGAGTAATTGGTGCTCTTTCTAGAAAGCTATAATGAATGCCTGGAGAAATTGGCTAATCTACCGCGTGGTCCATAAATTCCTATCGTAAGAAAACGGTAATTTACAGCTGCGAGTACATTGTCAAGATTACTAATGTTTACAGATTTATTCGTTATTTTAAATTAAAACAATATTTTGAAATTAATATTATGTTGTTGAGATGTTCAAAACGAAGACAACTTGAATGAATGAAATTTAAGTAATTGTAGATATTGACTTACCCAAGTTCGCCATCACATCATTTTCGTCTCAGAGAAGGCAGTTCGCTCGGTTGATAGTCATTTAAACCGCCGTTAAAGTCTAAAAAAAAACGTAAATTGTAGTTTGCTTTTCACTTATCTGTTCATAACTAATTCGCTTTTACTGTCTAATTATATTTTGGACAGTATCAGTAATATTTTTCATAATTGTTTTAATGAATCTAGCAAAAGCGTCAATTACAGTTATATACTTTCGTACGAAAATATATACTTTCGTCGACGTAAAATCATTTATACTAGTTTGGCGACGCTCAGATTGACTCACGGATTTTTTTTATTATTATATATATATATATAAATAATCTTTATTTCCTACAGAAAAAGGCTATCGACCCAATCGGTCTTTCTGCCCTTTTATTATTATTTTAAGACATTATTAGAAAATATTAGTTTCTACGGCACTAGTAACACCTATGTGTCGAAAAGCTAATATTTTTAGATTCAACTCCCAAGAAGTATTAAATAAATTTTAAAATCTAAACAAACAATATAAATCATCGTTGCAAATAGTTTTTCAATTCCGTCATAACATTGGATTAACTTTTGAAAGTCTAAGCAGCTCACAACAAATTAATATATTCTGAATAAATATTTTAAAGAAGTGATTTTTTAAAGATGAGTAAGTAGCAAAACAATTACTATAATTGTTTTTATTACAATAATTATAACTGTTATGGATAATTAAACATGCAAATGTTAATTAATAAATTAGATTGCGAACAATAAATTCCTTAATAAATAAAATAAATAGTTAAGATTTGGACAAAGAATATGTAGATACATAAACGAAAGTTCGTTTACGTACATTGATTTAGCCCTCTGTTCGCCGACATTTAAGTGCTCTTCAACCGATTGTAAATAATAATCATAGGTCACGTTCTTGCATATTTAAGTTACGCATTAACATGATGCTCGTTGACATAAGAACATGTTTATGTATGTCATTCATACACTTATTGTGGCACGATGACGAGACGCTATTAATGAATGAATCTTAGGATCCACCCCACTGATTGACAACAATCTATAATTTAAATAATCTGAAACTATTGGGCTTTCTCTCGAATGTATTATAAGTTAAGGTCGCGCCATCGTGTAAGGTTTACTTCACATAAATCTGAAGCAACGTTATGGGCTGTTTCAGATTCAAATGTTATGTCGAACATTAAACATATAGAAAAAATAAATTAGAGGATGCACATTGGATATATGAATTCTGATATAATATGAATAGATGTTTTACATTGTAAGTCTGGTCAACACAAAATACCATTTTTATTATAAAACTATATCAAAATAGAGGACAGGTTCTGTATGTTCAGCGCAAATAAAAGGTTCAACAAGCACAAGTAAAAACGTCCAAATGTGTTCTGTATCTAGCATTAAAGTAGTATTTAAAAGTTATCTCAACATGTGACTATAGCTTGGGCCAAACTCTATTTATAATAAAGACCCTTCATTATGTATAATTAGTTGCAATTTTTGCAAAATGCAAATAACACTGGTCATAAGGGTCCAGTCTCAAATTACACAATTGTAATGAAGAACTTTTGCAACAAAAGGTAACTTATTAACATGTTAAATACTTACTTCATCCTCTTAAAGTGAAAATAAAAGAGCAGCAAGAATTAGAGAAAAAGTCGCCTGAGAAACTGACATATTAGTGTGTAGCCGCGCTTAATCAGAAAGAAAATCGGTAGAAAAAAATTAAATACAATAATACATAGAATATATAGGTAGGTATATTTAAAATACATAAAATACAAATACAAAAATACGAAATCATTAGAAACCGATGTGGAGTGAAGAGGACCGCAGCAGAACAAGAAGAAGAAGACGGAACTGTAAAGTGCGGCAACGAAACTTTTCAATTTCTTGATTTATTCAGACAAAGCAAGTACTATCAACAATAAACCTAAAATTGCAGCAAAAATAACACATCTTGAGGAATGTAATGTGTATTTTTCGTATTTTTACATAATGTATAAGAAGTAAATATCTGAAAGTTCTTCCATTAAATAAAACTTAGAACACCCGAAATTTCACAGAGAACATTGTCTCATGTAGAACCGTCGTTTTCTAATAATAATTCCAAATTTAGTGGCATAATTCAAAAACAACAATTCCCTTCAAGGATACGTTAGTATTCTGCAAACAAAACATTTTAGGTAAACCGAATAAACATACATAATCCGTAATTTAGAACTGGAGATGTAAAACTTACTGAACTGAGCATACATTTTTCGAATAAAAAACTGAAAGCTAACATTTCAAGCTGATAGAAATAAATAAATAGGGCTTGGTCGGTAAACACAAGGTTAGAAATACTAGCTACAGAAAGTCTAATCAAGCTCCCAAGCTCGGTCACAATAAATTCAAGTTTGCAAAATTCTCTAACAAATGCCAAAGTTTGAAATATTGGTAAAATAATTAAAGCTGATCTACCTCACATATGCGCCTGTATCTATCTCAGATTCTTTAAACCACTTGAGTAAATTATTGTCCTCCAGCCATTCCAGCAGTGCGATGCAGATGAATAAAACCACTAAATTATTGTTTTTAGAGCTGCTAATACCCTTGAGATAGTGTACTTAAGGCCTAGTAAACACCCATCTTTACTACTGTATAGTCTGTCCTCCTGCGGTGAATGAAACCAATTTACCATGTAGAAAATTATGCCTTTTGCTAATTATTGTTTCGTTATTGCTAGGCATGGCAGATTTGGTTGACCTGGACGATCTTTGGCACGATTTAAGCCTCATTAGGTTGTTAATTCATACACATAGATGCAGTTTGAATATATTAGATGAAGCGCTTTAGCAGGTTCGTAACGTGGGGTTTTATGCTAGTCAAACAGGAACTGTTAGCAGTTCAGTTCAGAAAAAAAGTACTAATACCACTGATACAAAGCGTCACGAGAAAGCACATAAATACGGCTTTTCGTAGATATCACGTGAACTAATTCTACGCAAATAACAAGAATTGAGACACCGGCGTAGTATTAAGTAATGGCTTCACTAATGATTGTGATAAATATACTGTCTGCGATATATGCATCTTATTAATTAGACAATTAAATTAAAAGAACGGAATTGTGTAGATAATATTTACTTCTTTCACCAACTAATACCAACTACCTATAACCACAATTAACAGCAGAAAGTATAATTAATAGTAATTACATTTCCTGATCTATTTTTGCACCTGTACTGGTCGATGCAGTAAATAGCCATTTATCAATTGGAGATTTTTAATTGACTGTTACAATCCAAGAAACTGATTCTGCAAGGTATAAAGAAGATAATTCTGAAACAAATAAATCTTCTCTATCTTCGAAGTGGCCGAAGCTTCAAGGCACCGGTTCCGCTTGATAATTAGAATAAGAGGAAAATGGTGTTTGTAGTTGTGATTTCTCTTATTTAAGTTTTAATTAAAATTAATTAATCAAAACTAATACAGACTTAAGGCACTGGAAAGAGATGTTTCATTGTCAATATTGGATTTGATTAAAAATAATGATTTTATCAGCAAGCAAATGTCCCATACAAGCAGCAGATTTACATCCCTTGCTCGAGAGTCGAAAATGCTTGGACGCATGTAATTAACTAAACCAGCATCTCAGGCCTCAAAACCTTAAAACCGAAAAAATTATAATTGGATTAAATATGCTTTGATGTAAAACTATTTATAGTGGACCAAATGCTGACTTATACGTTATTGCAACTATAATATTATATTTTGTTCCAGGAAAAGAAATCGTGTTCTTGTGATGTTGAAATGCTGCTAGGTGAGTTATGAATTGCGTTATTCGGTTTTAATCTATTTAAGAGAAATACTTCATGATGGGGATATCAAATCTTTGACAATGAAGGAGGATAATTTGCAAAAACCAGAAATGTTTATTTTATTAAAAGCACAATCTCAAAGTGGATAGGTTCGAAGACATGAATTAATCTGTATTTTAGTAATTATATTCTTTAGCGCATTGAAGATTTATCGCCGATTTGAAATAGATTCCTCAAAGTAGGTTTGAGGAAACGAATTGAATTAAAAGCGTTTTCATTATTTTCATTATAAAATTAAACCCAGCATGTTAAAAAAGAAATGGTTTTAATTAAATTGTTTCGAGTTTGAAGAGCAAATGAGATTCTCACATTTATGCCGAAATATTCGGAGTGAAAGTGAAATGAAGAAAAAATGAACAGTTCATTCGTTTTCTCGATATCGTCCTTATAAAACTAAGCAAGTGCAGACTTAATACATTACATTGTTTTCCATTATAAACAGTGCTTCGATCAGCTGTCTTTCGGGACAAATTATGCAGGAATGAAGCATTCTGTATTAACAGGAAATATTGATTACTTCTTAAAGCCAAGAGATACTCATACTGATACTTCTCATTCACATACGCGAACGTGCATATCAAGTAAACTTCAATTTCGTTCGTATACCAAAACCTCTTAACATTACCTAGAGATTAGAGCTAGAGACATTTCCTTGAATCTTTCGATAACAGAACAAATAGGAAGTTGCTGCAGCACTTTACGGTCTGATCCCGTAGTTCTAGTGAACAATTGTGTAGTATGCAAATAGTTTTCCATAAATTTCTCCCGAAGAATTCACGACTGAGATAAACTTCACGATCATTCTTAAACGAAGCAGATTAGTAAGCATACGGCTTCGTCATAAGGGCACATAAATACAGAGCGTTCGGTAGCTTAAGGTGTTTAAGATTAACACCTTGAATTACGGCTACTAAGGTAGCCACTTAGCTTATCTCTAAAGCCACTGGTAAGAGCTTAGCTACTAGCGGTAAAAGGCTCTTAAATTTTCATTACGGGAACCATAAAAGAATTCAGGTATTGTTAAGGAACAGTAAGATCAAAACAATTCCATGACTTTGAGTCTGATTCTTAGTATTATTGTTGATACTCATGACCTGAAATTATTACTTTCACAGCAAAATTTACCTTTTCTGGTAATTGTAACGCTTTGAAGTAAAATGAAATGTTCCGTTGATAAAGTTCTGTCTGACGGCTTACATTCCTTTAGATTCGTTCTACACTTTTTGCAAAAACGCAACGTTGATTGTTTCTAATTAATTTTGCGATATTATTATTATTTTTTTTTGGATGGGGTTTGAAAATACAGTAGTTCTGTTTAAAAATTTTGCAAAATAATTACAGCTTTTTAAAATACGCAAAAAGTAAAAACTAAGTGGTTTAGTGCACCCTATAGCATTGGCAGTAGACAATTGACTGGAATTAATTTTCGTTAAATGGAAATAGAAACTGTATGTTTAGTATACAGGGTGATTCAAAATTGGCTACTGGCTAATTCCCTTTTTACCTGGGCAATACTTACTTCAGGGTTCACTACTCTCACCCCTGCTTAACAGTATAGAGGGTGATTCAAAATTGGCGTCATTCCTCTGGAGGTGTTGTCTGGCGCTGTTATAGGAGTACAGAAAAAATAGCAAAATAAATTAACTGTTTTTAAAAGCTGAGATTTTTGCAAAAAATCAAATCAGAAGGATGGCAACAATATTTTTCAAGGAAATCTGCCTGATTATTATTACGTCAACACCTGTTGCGTCTCACTTATTACAAATTGTAGTAGCCATGGGTAAACAGAAATCAAAGAAAGGAATAAATAAACAAGAAGTACTTTGAGGTTAGGATAACTTGGAATGTGTCACTTTGCCCAGGGATGTTCTGTGCACTTTGCCGTCAGTGATATTAAAGGTTATGTATCAATGACCAATATCGATCGTTGACAATACAATTAAGTGGTTAAATCACAGAAGATTTTCGAATTTCAATCCGTTTAACTCCAAATATGTTGGTGTCTCAATAACTTTATCGTACATTCCTGGCAGTCTGGGCTCACATTTTGTACAGCTTCTCGTATTCGGCTAATTAAATCTTGCTCACTTTGTACCGGCGTTGGGAAGATCAGAGATTTAATATATTCTAGTGTCCTATGGAGTGGATATGGAAGTTCTTACAGCTTCTGCTATTTTACTGTAGCATTTCCCCATAACTAATCGCATATTTGCAAATTCAATGTTTGTGCAAATTTGGCGAAAGGAGATTTATTAAGTATGGGCCGTATCGACCTGTAACTATCGGTTAATAACAAAAAACATCATTGCCGCTTCGACTTTTCATCACACAATTGTACAAGAATACTTATTTAATATAAACATTTTTCGTAATTTGAAGTAAAGAACATAATTTCTCTTTTCGAACGGTTAAGTATTCCAATAGGCTACCAATCAAAAGTATGACCTTTTAAAAATAATACTTCAATAATCACAACGTTAAAATTCGAACTTCAACTGTTAATATCTTCTAGAAATATATAGCCCCTTAAAAGGAATGACGCCAATTTTGAATCACCCTGTATATTGCAATTCTATTTTAGTAATTATGTATACAATTTAGGAGACGAAAAGTGTAGAAATTTGGTGCAATCATAATCAATGAAATCGTCAGTCACGCAAAGTAGTTCCACCTACCCGAAAAAAACCTCTGAGTAAACAGCCTTAAACTAACTCAGCAAATAATACATACGGTCAGAAATGGCGGATCTGTTATCAAGTATATAAAGTGCATTTATTTTTAGAGAAAAATTGGGTAAATGTTAATTTTCAAAATAGAATCTTTTGAGAAATTACCATGTTACAACTTTGCCCGTTTTTTATACCGCGTTTTGCATATTAGAATATATGTCAAAAAAATAAGTCGCAGACATACATTAAAATTTAAACAGTTTGACTGAATTAAGCCCGAAGTCAAATAAACAGCGGAAACTATGATAAACGACAAATCAGATAGATTATTCCAACCACGGTAATTTACACGACATGGAAGCATGTAAACTGATCATCAGTCGAGTGCTTAAGAAAGGCTGGAAAATAACGACTACTTAAAAAGTGAGAAACGGCCAAGAAAATTTTATGTTTTTAAGGGCGTTCCGAGAATGGCCGTTATTACCGAAGATCTTTGATATTTACATGCTGAACGCTATTAGCAAAGTCATATAATGCAATGAGATTGTCAGCTAGCTTATTAGAAAAATTGATTTCTTGCTTTAAACGCGGCCGCGTTCTTCAGGTTAAAGATGACTGGCAAATTCCCGATTATTTTTTTGTTTATACTTTTAATTGCTTCTATCTAATAATGTATTTCTTCAATGGAATTTATGATATATTCACGGTGTGTTTTTAATAACAATATCAATTACCTTGCATTGCCAGGGTGGAGTATTAGACTGTCTTTAAAAATGAATAAAGTAGGAAATGAATTGCTGGTCATTCAAGCAAATTAAGACAAATAAATTCCATTAAATCTAAAAGTTAAAGACAAAAGGTTATCTTGATCTCTTTACCGTCTTTACCTCAATATTATTGTAGTAATAGTAAATATGACATTGTTAGTGATATTGAGGATGAATTGCGTGCAACCCGGTTTAAAAAAGCGTTATTATCAAATCTTCTTTCTCAGATCTCATTCAGTTTCACGGTTATTTAAGCAATTGTTCAATATTTATTAATTATAACATAAGCCCCGAGTTTTCGCTATACCTGATGACTTAGTAATTTACATGCCTCTGAAATGTCTCACAATTAAGTTTTTTTGAAGTTTCAAAATCGACTCCAATGTATTTTTAATCTTTTACCTTCCTAATTAACACAGCAAAGTTATTATTAAATTTCCTCAAATTCATCGCTCTCAATTTGATGCTAATTTTCAAACAATCTATATAGACCAATGAAAATGAATGTGCCTTAGGTCATCCTTAAGGATGCGAATCTTGCAATGATTGACTGAAATAAAATGGAAAAGATCGTGTAGGTAATAACAATAGTATATTACATAATTAGAGTTGTAAGGAGTATTTTACGTACGAATGGAAATGTTCCATCAGTACGTAAATGCGTTTAAAAAAAATGCGAATTAAAGTTCAGAAATTTAAAGTTTACTTCAATGTGCGCTCTTTTAAGTTTAAAGTTCAAATTTAAAGCGTATTAGTATGGAAAGCGGAAACTTCTACTGCAAACACGGTATTTTGAAGTAGAGAATGTGCGCGTTTCGAAGTTTTTCAGTTTCAGTTTAAAGTTGATACTTTTAGATTTATTGTCGCGGTTTTAACTGGATTTCCAAACTTGAACGTTTTGGTTTAAAGTCTCGATTTAAAGTTGGGGGTGACGAAGAGAAATTTGAATGATTCGAAATTTAAAGCTTATTAGTTTGGAAAGCGGAAACTTCTACTGCAAACACGGTATTTTGAAGTAGAGAATGCGAGCGATTTAAAGTTCCCAAGCATAACATTGAAATTTCAAGTTCAGTTTAAAGTTGTGTGCGCTTGCGATACTTTTAGATTTAATGTCGCGGTTTCAAGTGGATTTTCAAACCTCAACGTTTAGGTTTAAAGTCTTTGATGTTGTAAAATTTAAAGTTTGATGGAAAGTTGGAAAATTTTGGAACGAGTGACCAGCCACCATTTCCGAAGCATCTGGAGATATCCGGCCTCATTGGAAAGACAAAAACAGGCCAAGAATCGCGATTAATCAGGAAGTTTGTCCCTGTTGGAATTAATTCGCTTGTACGGCCTTCCGGCTCAGCTCAGCGTTGACGCGCTTAGCAATAGATCTGCTTTTGACGCGATTTGACCGAATTTCCATTGGAAGAACTTCGAAAAAAAAATTCGAAAATCGTCAACTTTTAAAAAGCTTTTTACAACTTTTTAAAAACTCCAAAATTATGTACTATACTTTACCGA